CCCCTGTTAATTATATTAATTATATTACACAGATTATACATGTGACTATAAATTATTACATTATATAAATAAATACATGTGACTACAATATAAAAATAAATAATATAACGCGAATGTGTTTGTTTATTGTTTAATAATGTCTGATAAAGAAAACGAAATATCAATTAGTTGTGACAAAGGATCACTTGAAAATATACTAGGTGCTGAATTTGAAAATTATGAAGGTATTTTACCTTTAATTGACACTCCTATAGAAATTATAGAAGGTACACAGTTTATTTCTATGTCAATTGCAGTTCATTTTATAGAACAATATGCACGACAAAAGAAATTTGCTGTTATTAAATACAAAACTGAAACATTTCAAGATGGTACTTGTAGAAAACGAGTATTCAAATGTGATTTAGGAGGAAGATATAGTGAGAAACTTTCAAAACCAGCACTAGGCAAGCAAAAAAATAAAGGAACAAAAAAATATGGATGTATATGGCAAATAAATGTAACACGTGGAAAAAACTCTCCAATTACAACTGTAACATCATTTATTAATGATCACAATCATAAACTTTCTAGCGAAACTATGATATTTTCTATAGCTTACAAAGGTTTTTCCCAAGAAATTATGGAACAGATTGAATTTTATGTTATACATGGACATTGTGATGCAACAATGATTAGAAATTTACTTCAACCCAAATATCCTGATAGAGTATTTTTATCTAGTGACCTTAGTAATGCTATTCAAAAAATAAAACGAGAAAATGGAATAAATCTAGGTGACGCAGCATCATTATTAATGAAACTTCTTGCGTATCAAAAGAATAATCCTGAATGGTTCGTAAAACCATTAATTGATGATACGAGTAATAGATTAATTGGTATTTTTTGGATGTCACCAGAGCAACGACAAAGATGGATTAAATTTTATGATGTCATTATTCATGACAATACTGCTCGCACCAACAAATATAATTATCCTTTAAGTCTTTTTATTTTAATTGATAACTATAATAAGAGTAGATTAGCAGCACAAGCAATTATACAAGATGAAAGACAAGAATCTTATGAGTGGTTATTACAATGTTGCCTCGAAGCATGTGAAATACCACCAATAACATTTGTTACTGATGCTGATCCAGCAATGGTCGCGGCTATATCTATAGTATTTCCAAAAACACATCATATACAATGTTTATTTCACCTTTATTTAAATCTTCCAAAAAATCTTCGTTCATGTTTAGGTTCATTATATCAAGAATTTTTTAAAGACTTTAGAAATATTCAAAGATCTCATTGTGAAAGTTTATTTGAACAACGATTACAAGGTTTTGTAGAAAAATATGTAGCAGGAAAAAAATATATAAATACACTATTAGATAAAAAACACTCTTGGGTAAAATGTTTTACATCACGGCATTTTACTGCAGGTACACAATCAACACAACGGGCTGAATCAGAAAATGCATTAATACAAAAAGCAGTACAATCTTCATTTTCACTTTTGCAAGTACAAGAAGTTCTTGAACAGAGGCTCGAGTTCGAAATTATTAATAATCGTTACTCAATCTGGAAAATGTCAATGTTACAATATTCACAATCATTCGTTATACAAACATTTTTCAATGATATCAATAATATTTTAAAGAAATATCTTACTCAACCAATTCACGATACACACCATAAGCAAATGTGTCAATCTGTGTGCTATCACGCTTTTCAAATATCATTAACAGAAATTTCAACATCAGACGATGATTCTTTTGAACCATTTTTTGAAAAAGAAAACAATAATGTGTCTGAAGAAATTTTTATTGAAGCGGACGAAGATAGAGAACTTAATTTACAATCTTTAATTGCAATCGTTGATCCGGGTGATATTTTGGAAATTTGGAAAGTTGTACGATACAATTACCCGAAATGTTATCAATATATAGTTTTGCTCAACAATGGAGAGCACCTTTGTACTTGTTATATGCTTATTACTCATGGCATAATATGCCGACATTTTTTTAAAATTTTTGTAGAATCGTCAAAGGCACAATTTCATTTAATGTTAATACCTAACCGTTGGTATAAAGATGAATATAATTCAGACACAATTAATGAAACAGTAATAAGTAATAACAATTCTAACCATAATATTACACAAATTAATTCAACTTTTGTTCAAAAATATACTTCAGATGATCTTTCAGAAAAACATGGCAAGCAGATATCAAAAGATCGAATTAAATATGGTGTTTTGATGGGGGAAGCAAAAAAAGCTATACAATATGCAATTGAAGATGGTGATAATGAGTTAATTCGATTGATAAAGGAATTTAACCAAAAAAAAGAAATTCAACGAATTCAAGAAGAATCCAATAAACAACAAGAAATCCTAGCAAAACGAAAAAATAACGACAATCAAATTATTTTGGGTACAAACGGCATTTTAATTGATTCTCAGCAAATTTTAGATCCATTAAAACATCAAGCAAAGGGAAGACCACCAACAAAACGATTAAAATCCTTTTATGAACAATCTGGAAGCAAATCAAAAAATAAAAATAATAACGAACATACAGCAAGCACTACGGCATCTGATATGGGTCGCAAATGTGGTAAATGTGGAGAAAATGGTCATTATCGTAGTACTTGTTCTACGATAATTTAAAAATATTTTTTTTTTCAAATTTTTTATTAATTTGGGTGTTAATCACATGTATAAAGAGATTTATAAGCGAGATATTCCTCGCAATAACTTTATTAAATAAAAATTGATTACATATATAATATGTAGTTGAAAACTATAAACACCTTATTTATTACATTTAATAAAAAGATTTAAATGAGATATTATAAATAGATACTGTAAAGAATATCATGATGTGAGTTGGGGTTTGTATTAATTTGATTCTTATTGTTACTAATTCCATAATTAAATTTCATTGAAGGTAAATAATAATGAATGAATGTATGAATAGATGAAAAAATGAATGGATAGAAGATCGAAAGATAAATAATAATGGATAATGGATAGAAGATCGAAGGATAAAATAATAATGGATAGAAGATCAAAGTAATAATGGATGGAAGGTCGAAGGATAAATAATAATAGATGGAAGATCGAAGGATAAATAATAATGGATAGAAGATCAAAGTAATAACGGATGAAAGATCGAAGGATAAATAATAATGGATGGAAGATCAAAGGATAAATAATATAGAAGATCAAAGTAATAACGGATGAAAGATCGAAGGATAAATAATAATGGATAGAAGATCGAAGGATAAATAATAATGGATAGAAGATCGAAGGATAAATAATAATGGATAGAAGATCAAAGTAATAATGGATGGAAGGTCGAAGGATAAATAATAATGGATAGAAGATTGAAGGATAAATAATAATGGATAGAAGATCGAAGGATAAATAATTATAGATGGAAGATCGAAGAATAAATAATTATAGATGGAAGATCGAAGGATAAATAATTATGGATGGAAGATCGAAGGATAAATAATAATAGATGGAAGATCGAAGGATAAATAATAATAGATGGAAGATCGAAGGATAAATAATAATGAATATAAATAGACGAATAGATAAATGGATGGATGGATGGATACGAGCGAACGGATGAACGGGCGAATGGATGAACGGACGAACAGACGAACGGATGGGTGAATGGATGAATAAATGGACGAACGGATGGATGAATGGATGAACAGACGAACAATAAGTGGATTAATGGAATGAATAAATGGATGGATAAATAGACGGATGGATTAAATTTCCTTACCAGATAAATTATCACGGTTAACCTTCTCAAAAAAAGAAAAGAATGAATAAATAGAGGAACAAAAAACAAATTGCAGGAGGTCGAAATCAATATTGATTGTAAAAAAAATAGAGTTAATACATGAACCTATACTCGAATCTCATTGTCTTCCTCCTCCTAGTCATAATCGTTGTCATTGTTGCTAATCTTTATGTGATCACACTATATAAATATTGTTAAAGGTATACATAATAGATTCTGACATGGTAATTTACAAGTTAAGAGTTTTTTTTTCACAGTTTTTTC